ATCATTCTTGGATTGAGATGATTCTTTGGAGATTTTAGATGTTATAAGAAACTAGATGAAGGAAAGTTAGTTTAGATAAGTAAAGAAGAGTTTAATAGTATTGTTGGAGGTAAAAGAGAATTTGATGAAATTTGAGTAAAAATCGAGCTGAAAAATGGAAAATATGGGTAAGGGTATCTGTACTGGAAGAACAATGCCAATACTATAGGCTTAAATTTGAAAAATTACGATGAACAATATCGATATTGATGCAATTAGTATCGATACTGCTGTGGGTATCGATACTAAGAGAAAGGTATCGATACCATGGATTCCAGAATGCAGAAATGGTATTGATACTGAAGGGAGTATCGATACCATAGTATAGAAGTATCGATACCATGGTAGGGGTACCGATACTAGTGAGTCTAGAAAATTAAGATAGGACGAATTTTAATAGAAATTGAATATAATAGTACTTTTAAGTATTATTAAACGTATAAATGTTAGAGAGTATACTAATATTGGTATATCATGTGTACTTATTGGATGCTTGTGTAGATCGTAACCAAGCTCCTGAGTTAAGCAAGAAAAAGGGCAAATATAAGGTTGTCGAATAGTTGAACATCCTTAAAGCATTTTAACAAGACATATCAGGTGAGTGCATTTAATATGTACATTACAAGTTTTAGTTGTATTTGGTTAAATACATATGTTGTAGTGTTATATTAGTACTATGTGTATTATAGACACTAAGTGTGCAAAACCACAAAATTCGTAATATGTTTATGAACAACCGAATCAACACTAAGTGTGCAAAACCACAGAATTCATAATATGTTTATGAACAACCGTATCGACACTAAGTGTACAAAACCACGAAATTCATAATATGTTTACGAACAATAGTATCGACACTAAGCGTGCAAAACCACAGAATTTATATATGTTTATGAACAACCGTATCAGCACTAAGTGTGCAAAACCATAGAATTCATAATATGTTTATGAACGACCGTATTGGCACTAACTGTGCAAAACCACGAAATTCATAATATGTTTATGAACGACCGTATCGACACTAGGTGAACACCTCAAAGAAATTATAATGATTTGAAAACAATAAACTTGTATTTGGTAAATATGATATAATGATGTATTGATTCTTACCTCATTAGTGTTCTTGCCTCACTAAGTAAATACTTAACGTGTGTTTATTTCACGCGTAGGCGTTAGCAAGAAGAGTAAGGAGTGCATCTGATATCGCAAATCAAAAGTCACCTCAGCTGTACGACAACTGTGTCTATTTTTTATATTATTAGTTGGCATGTAATAGAAATATGATCACGCTCTGAGAAGTATTTAACTTATACTAATGTTTAATGAATGTTTTATTAATTATTAAATTAAAATATTTTATGAATAGAAACAAAATTTTATTGGTTTACAAAAGAATAAATGCTTTAAAAGTTATGTGACATCTGTGTCTCGTGTACGGAAACGTATACGGGAAATGGGTGTTACAAGAAGTTAAACTACGACTACACCGACTTCGATAAGGTAGAAGTTCTGTTGAAGTCTTCTACAAGGAGATGCAGTCCTTACTCAATAGGGCTAACATAACCAAAGAAGAAAATGACACTGTGTCAAGATTCGTCATCTGCTTGAACTCAAACATCACTGATCTTCTTGACCTCCATAGGTATAAAAACCTCGAAGATACACTAAATAAGGCAATAACGATCAAAGTACAAATCCAAAGGAGATTTCAATTTAGAGAACATTACCAAGGTACTTCATCCTCTTACCAAGGTAATCATTCAAATCCTTCTTCATCTTCTACTCCACCTTCTCTAAAAACCCGAGAGATGACAAACCTGACAAGTTGAAACAACGACCAGCAAAGAATAACACACCTCCAGCCCCTAAAGATCAAATGAGAAATTGTGAGGAGGTAGGGAAAGCAAAAAAAATGTTGAGAAAGAGGCAAAAGCAAAAGAAGTTACTAGTTACAAAAGCCAAAAGAATAATGACCCATGGGAGGTGAGTGAACCTAATTGTGAGAAGAAAAGAGTGACTCAAAATCTATGTGTGAGCACAAAAGAATTGAGAGAGAACATTCTTTACGAACAACCTTGCATCCTTGTTCGCTTTAGGGAATCACTTGTTTCGATTTCTAACATTAACAAGGATTTGCCTGGTGTGTTTTCATCTCTTTTACAAGATTTTCGAGAAGTGTTAGGTGATCCACTTGATGGATTACCATCAGAAAGAGGGAAATAACAACAAACCAATCTAATTCAAGGTTCTATCATACCTCGTCAAACATACAATCTCGAAGAAACCAAAGAGTTAGATTTGTTGTAAAAATGCTACATCTAGAAAAGCCTTAGTCGTGACGCCATCTTAACGATGACACATGATTTGAAAAACTCCACAGGATTTATAGTTCGTGCACAGGGAATCCATGTAAATGATGAAAAAAGTGAAAGCAACACGGTACTGGCCCACACCATCTTCCATCACCAAGAGTTTTCGAATGATGCTAGGTGACCCTCCTGACAGGTTACCACTTGAAAGCCCTAAATAATATTTCATATCAATGAAGAGTCACGATTTACGAGAGTCCAAAAGTAAGTATTTTATTACTCATTTTATTGATATTGTAACGTACTTCTTCTCCTTTTTACTTGAACTTGTCGTCCATACTAAACACAACTCCTTTAAGTGCATAAAAGACTTAGGTAAGAAAAAAATATAGTAGACGATGCACTACCACGAAGGTTCTGCAGTTCACAAATCTCCTCCCGAAAATTCTTAATTCATAAACCACACTTAGGAGACTTAAGGGATTACTTTCACAAACCATTTGACATGGTTTTTCAACACTCATTCTCGCCACACACGAGTCAAACCATGGAGAGAATATCTGAAGCAATCATAATGAAAGCAAACAGTAGACGGGGCCATGTTGAATTTCAACCTAAATATCATATTACAGGAATTGTATGCAAAAGAGGATTTTAAGACTACAAGAATTCAGTCCCTACAAAGAAGAAACCTCGACTAAAACGCATAAAGACACATCACATTGATCCTGGTAAATGTTTCATAAGTTTTCCTTTCAACACATCTAATTATCTTTACCGTTCTTACCATCATCATCTTTACCGTTCACCTTCATAAGGGAGCCACCTTCTACTATTCACCCCCTTTGTTCTTTATCGAGTCTAGAGCTTTCTAGATTTGATTCTTCAACAAGAGCAACGTTCATTAATCTGCTACCGCTTCCCTATCACATTGGCTCGACACTTTCAACACGGCTCAAGAAGCTGCACTCACTTATGATCGAGCTGCCATTTCCAACAAAGGAACTCAAGCCAGGACCAACTTCGTCTACATGTCCCTTTTCCATGTCCAATCTGTTTACCACCAGGCTCTTGATCTTAACACGTATCAATCCCAATCAACAAATCATAACGTTGAACAACCTCAGCCTGACATTTCGGAACCAAAAAACAGTGGCTCGTTTTCATCGAAAGATGATAATGGTTTGTTTTTCAGTACCAGCAGTGACGATAACTCGGGTTACTTGGCCTGCATTGTTCCTTATAACTGTTTGAAACCTCCTTCAAACTCATTCTCCATGGATCATCCTCCATTGATGGTTCAAGATGAGTGCGTGGGAGCTATTTATACTTGCAATGACACTCCAAGCAGCTACATCATGATGCTGAGTTTCGGTGACGTTTTACTCGGCGAATTCACTTTTTTGATACCGTATCAGCTAGGAAAATGGAAGTTATGTTTTGTTTCAAGGTACAAAAGACAGACAGTAGGTACAAGGAATTAATATGGTTTCTCCAGCCTTAACTTCGCCAAATTGAACGGAAGTTTAGATTTGAAAAACAGCTTTTTAAGCAAAAGCTTTCTTTTATTTTCAGACAAACATGATAAAGAGTTGTCTCTATGGAGCATTTTGATAAAGGTCGTATATGTCCCATGATATATTATATTGTCTGCTTCTTTAAACCTGCAACTAGCACAAAAATGCATGTAGTATGTGGTTCATTCAGCATTAAAATGTTTTGGGATGTTACCTTAATTTGTTACATTAAGTACTGTGCCTTCTGTCTGAAAAGTTGCAGCACTTCTATTCTTCACAACCACCCTTCTTTGAAAAAGGATAGAAAAAGTGCCCAGAATAGGGTTTGAATACAAGGCACTATCAAAGCTCCAACCATCTTTCAAATACAAGGCACTATCAGAGCTCGAACCATCTTTCAAATACAAGGCACTATCAAAGCTCAAACCATCTTCAACAATATGTACAAGTTCTCAACCCACAGGTAGATAGAGAATACCTAGGAGCACTAGACATCTCTGTCTGACAAAACAACCCTGAACTTTGGGGGTAATAGGTGCCTCAAATGACCAGGCACAATGATGAACATTATTTAAAACAGTGGAGAAAAATTCTCATGTATTCGAATATCACAGTAAATGTATCCAACACAGTCGAGCATTTCCATTGTCACAACATAATTATATGTATAATCTGATCCCCATATATATATATATATAAAAGTCACATTTTGATGCATCCAGCGGAGTTTTCCTTAAATTACTTCTATCCTTCACAACAACCCCTCGTTAAAAAATGTCGGGTTCCTTTTCTAGGCTGAATTGGAAACTTGTTCCCGAATTAGAAATAAAAACTCTAAGAATGATGGACATGAACACTCAATTGATTTGAAGGGCAGAATGTTGCGAGCTGAGTCTTTTCGTTTTCAGGAAAAAGATCAGATGCATGATGTGGACTCCAAAAATTGGACAGGGTCGACATGGTTCTCCCTAACATAACTGCAGGTTCTTCGGTGGTTATTCAAAAGCAAGGTGCATGGGGTTTGCTAAAAGTTTTAGGTTTAGGCCATGGGTTTTATTCGAGATGGACTAGATGGCCCTATGATGATTATATGAATACAGATGCTACGCACTAGACCTTAATCGTGGAGCCATGATAACAAAGAAATGAAGCCTCCTACTTTCGAAGGCTTGCACACAAAATAAATTAATGTTTTTGTTCATGACCTTCATCAAAAAAGGGGGATAAAGGCAGTTGCTTCCATTTTTCTTAGCTGGAAGCGTGCGCCTTGGTTGTGGTGGTGGTAGAAGGGGCAGAACTCTGACTTGATTGATGTGTGCTTGACTGAGGAGCTGGTCCACCTTTAGAAAAAACTGAACCAACTGATTCACTCGATGCACTCACTGATGATGACATTATGGATGGAGCAGGGTCCTTGCTGGAACCAGACTGAAGTTCTCGTCGTAAGTCCGAAGATGAGGATGATGGAGCTAAAGTACCAATAGTAGATCCAACAGGATAGGGTGCAACAGGCATATCGGTAAGGGAAGAGGCAGACGGACTGTAACTCAGCGTTCCCATAGGATGATCAAATTTGCAAGCAGCTCCGAACTTGCATACTCCACGCTGTGAATAATGAATGCAAGGAGGTGCACCCTGATGACATTACCAAAAACACAAATGATATATTAACAACTTGAAGGGAAACAGGACTCGAGGTCAAAATTCTACAATGGTCGTAAAAGACTGCGTTTCCACAGACATAAAACTGAAGTTCAACCTTAATTAACTTACCTTGCTCATTCATGCTCTTGAAAATTGTTTTTGGAGAATATAAGAGTGCTTATAACACAAAATAGGTCGTATCATAAATATATGTTGCATGGCTAATGTACCAAAATCCAGAGAATAAAACAATATCAGCCATTCATGTAACAAAGAAGATAGCAAGCATGAATAGTAACATATGTTGCTCCAACTTTTCATTTTTCTTTAGGTACTAGTGTCTGATACCTTTATCCGGTACATGCCGGAAATGGGCATTAGGATATAATCCTCCAAAGACTCTTGACAAACACGTAAAATCTTAGAAATTAACTGGTTGTTAGAAACAAAGGCAGAATGACATCAAGAAAGAAAGGCGATACACCTCGACCTGAACACCCGACTACAAGCAAAAGAAGTACACAGGGATATGGAGCATGAATAAATAAATAAACTACTCAATCATAACAATTTCATGATAGTTTCCTTCATTTAACTTCTGTGGTTTCTTGCGAGCTGAGTTTCTCAGATATATAAATATAACAATTCCGATCATGTGTAACTTCATGTTTGAGAGTGCAATGACATTTTATAATAACCAGAATTGAGAAGGCCTTAGCTCGTGGCCGATTAAAAATTTTCTTCAAATCCTAGGATTCGTCCTCGGCCAGGCAGGTATAACAAAAACTTAGACCCTCCTTGAGAAACCCTGCATACTAAGTTCGCTTGGAAGGGGAGATCAAAATTAAGGATAAGACTACTTTCAGTATCTTGAGCTGACAAAAGTCGCCTATGCAACACTTTCAGCATACCGACTATTGACTAACTTTTGAACATCCTCAATTCCAAGACAGAAATTGCTTGAAAAACAAAGCATATAGCTTAGGTGTTGTAATGTAGAAATTTACCAATATCCATCCATAATCTAAACTAAGATGTAAAGAAATTTAATCCCTCGTCCAGATAGTCCCGGATATTTATATTGAAATCAGAAACTAACACATGGAACAACATTGGGGACTTTATAACGGTACCCCCCCCCCCCAACTTGTGCAGTTGATAGAACAATTATAGCTACTGTTTCCAAAAAAGAGCTACTAAATGAACACCTATAAATAACCTAAATTCCAAATCTAGCTTAAGAGGACACAAATCCTAGAAAAGTTGAATCAGAAATGAACCACATAATGTTATAATGTCCTAAATAATAAATCAATAAGTGTATGAAAGATAACACCATTGAAGATATGATATTCTTATAGGTTAAATGACACATGAGAAGTTAAGAAGAAAAGAACTAACCCAACAATTATAACCGGAATAAACACTAGTGTTCACATGACCTATATGGCTGCTTTCACCCTTTTCACCTTTACCGCAAAGCTCCAATTTCTCTAAAGGAAAGGAAGCTCCGACCATTGGGAAAACTTTACACATTTTATTACCTCTAGTTGCAGGTTGGAACACACAAAGGAACCCAAATACCAAATAAATACAGAATAATAATCAATTGTTGCAAAAGAAACAGAGCAACGATAATTGTTATCCATGCTAATCATTATTAAGCATTAATCGTGATTAAAATTTTAAACCCAACCTTGTAAAAAGCATCAAATTTCTATGGCATTTTACAAATTCTTACTGGACGAAGAGGAAGACCAAGAGGGCTGAGGATGACATCGGCTTTTGGTGCATGCACTTCTTTCGGATGATGATATCTACAGGAGGATCCGTATTTACAATCACCTGTTTTCATATAATACTGACATTCTGGTTGGCCAGGTCTCTCGGGAAATGACTGCTCCTGAAGAATACTACTCGAAGACACAGCACCAGTAGGTACAGGCTGATAAGATCGAGTATAGGCAGGTGCTGAAGGAGATAACGGTGTTAATCCAAACACTGAGCTCGATCCAGCAGTGGCTTGATTACTGGGACTTACAGGTGGCTGCATCAGGTGCATTAACAACCTCAAGAATAAAAACTAATGAAGATTACTCACAGCTGAGGAAACTGAATAAAACTTTAATTTACCTACCGCATAATGATTCCAACTCGCAACAGAAACCATGCCCGGGGAAAGAAGCAAAGGACCATAAGGTCCTTGCACATATGAGCCTGGCATCAGGGGAGGCCTCGCCATTACAACTCCATATTGTTGTGACGAAGGACCGGACGGTGAATGCACTGAGGGATATAATGTAGGTGCAGGAACTGGAGTTGGCAAAGGTGCAACTTGAGGAGCTGGAGATGGTGCAGGAACCTCTACAGCAGGTGGTGTGGGATGATGGAATTTACATGTTGCACCGAATTTACAATGCCCCGTTTTCACAAAGTAAGAACACTCCTTTTCACCCTGTTTCAAAGTGCAGTTCAATTATTAAGCGAACTTAACATCACACAATGCAAAAGATCTTAACGTCAAGTTGCACAAACCGGGCGTAATGGATATCCAAAATAATTTAGTGGCACAGGGCTAACAGAACCACCTCCCTGCTTCGGATGATGGTATTTACAGGAAGAACCAAATTTGCAGGTCCCCTTTCTCATATAATACTGCCAATCAATAAAATGGAAACCGTAATCATCGTAAATAAGTAACATACTCTTTAGCATTTCGCTAAATTGTCAAACCAAATACAATCTATTCACTAAAAAGCAAGACATAATGACATAAAGTCATACCTACAGAGAATTTACCAATGCACATTGTTGAAATTGTAGCATATCGGCATACATACCTCGAATTTATCAAACATTTAAGACAAAATCTAAATCAAAAGTACCTGACAAGCCGGCTGGCCCACTCTCTCCGGATACCCCCCTGCATTACCTCTTCCAGCTCCCATAACCTAAAACAATCACCTTCATCAATAAAAAAAATGAGAATAAAATGTTTCTAAGATTACCAATTTAATTAACCAAAAACTTCCCATTTTCACTCATGGATTCGATTCCCCATCACTCGACAGACCATAATCAAACAAAAACAATCGAAAACCCTTCAAGAAAACTTCGAACCAGATCGAAACAAATGAATAATTCAATCGAATTTATCAATTATTTACCGATGTACGGTCACGTGGATGATTGAACCGACACCTGGAGCCGTAACCACAAAACCCAGTCCTCAAATAGTAGATACAATCAGCTTCATTGGGTCTCTCCGGGTAAGATTCCGGCTCATCCCCTAATCCCAACCGCCAAACCGGTTCTGCATCTCAAACAAAAACCTCGTATCACATCCGACATTACACAAAAAAGAAATCCCAAATCCCAAAACGAAATTAAAAAGCTAAAAAGAAAAAAAGAGTTATCTTTTACCTTCGAACCCCGTTTCGGGTCCCGGAGCTGTCCATTCCGGTTGTGGATCGGACTCTGGGTCCCGCTCCATTCAAGGTACGTACAAACAACCTCCCCAAATATCCCAAATTGCAATCCGATCAAAAGGGTGTTCACTTCTTCTTCTTCCAGAGAGAAAAAGTAAAAACAACAGAAACAAATAACCAGTGAGCAAAAAACTCTCTTGTTTTTTACACTCAACCGAGAAAACACACTGTTCTGTCTGTTGTTTTTTTTGGGGTTTTGTTTGGTTTTTCTCTCTTTCTCTCTCACCTCTTTTCTTTACTTTCTCAGCTTCAGCTTCTCAAAGTCATTTGCCGTCTGCTTCATCTTTCTCTTCCCCCTTTTCTTCTTTATGGGTTTGTTTATATACGCGCCAAATAGGGGGGGGGGGAATAATAAACATAATATTAAATTTTGTTGTTAATTAAATTCACGGTCTACTATGGATTTAGTCCCTCCATTATGCTAACATTTGAGGTTACATCTCTTTACTTTTGTAATGTTATTAGTAGATTCGAATTTATAACAGTTAACAGTTAATTTTGAAGTGATAGACTTGTTTTTTCTAAACTTTTTTTCGGATAAGAGGGGATAGTGACGGGATTTGGTGATACAGTTTGGGGTCAACTTAAAATTATAAATAATTTAGAGGTTTAAATTTAAATTTTGAAAAAAGTGAAGAGCTTAGTATACATTTTCTGCAAAAAAAAGTCTAACTAAAATTTTGAAAGGCTTAATGATAAATTTTAAAAAATATGGGAGGGGTTTAATTAAAAACATTCAAAAATTGTAAATCTTAATATGAATTTCTAAAAATTCTAGGGGGGATAAACTAAAAATTTTAAAGGTCTAACTTATAATTTTTCAAATTTGGAGGGGATCGTGGCCTCCACTAGTCCTCATTGTGTTCGGCCTCTTAGAGGGGAAGATTGATGTTTTATCTGTTTAGAATTTTCTTAACCAATTAATAACGTACACACATCATATAGACACAATTAATAATAATAATAATATAAAAATAACATATCAAATCATGTTAAATTAAAATAACAAGAATATATCTTAAATTATATCATAGTAGAGAGATTAAAATCAAAATATCTTAATAAAATGATTATAGATATATAGTGTTGCTTATATTGATGAAATAAGCTTAAGATGAATATATTTTGTTTTAAGTGAATATCTTGTCGGCAAGATTTATTATCATAAAAGTTTTTTTAATATTATAATGATATTTTTTCTTTTAAAATCAAAATTCTAGATTTTAAAATACAATTATTCATTTTCCGGATTTTTTGTTCTTTATCTAGAAAGCATTCATCTTAAATTTATGTTATTTGTTTCTCTTATAAGTAAGTTACTTTTTTAAGTAATTATAAAATTAATATTTATTTGGGTAAATTATAAATTCCATCACTTAACTTTTTTTATCCTATTTTGGCCATTAAAGTTTAATATTTTCAATTTATTTATTAAACTTTTGATTTACTCATATTTTGGTATCTCATGCTTTAAATCAGAAATTTCACCCGAACCCCAAAACTCATTAAACCCAAAATCACTATAATATATAATACTTAACATCCTATTAGCGTTGAATCAAAATATACAACTCACTCCCTCTTTATCTACCTCTCCACAATTAAGATTTATAAAGTGTTTCATCGTCAAAAAATCAAAAGGAATATGAAACCATAAGAATTTTTACATAAAAAATAGAATCATTTAATGATTTTTAAAAGAAAAATGTCCAAACATAATTATGTTTAGTATTTAAACGATAGACTAGCTAAATAAGAGTGAAAAAATTGAGTGATATTATTTATAATTTACCTTATTTATTAATAAACTACTTCTAATTTTTTAAAAATTCAATAAAGTAGAAAATCTTGATTTTGGCATTTTTGCTGTTGGCACTGCCTTTATTTATTATTAGGAATTTAATTTAAATGATTTAATTAATAATATTAATTAATAAAAGGAAAGGTGGGACATATTTCAAGTAAAGTGTGAGGTTTTCAACTTGGAAGTGTTAGGAAAATGGGGGTTTGATGATGACACCTACCAGGTTAACTTTTTGGATGCACCAACCATTGACCACCACGTGTTATAAAGAAAGCCTTTCTTGCATAAGCAGATTAACTTCGCACGCGCTATTTCAGAGACCGTGAATATATGCAAAACCAAAATAATTATAATTATAATAATAGTTAATTGCATCATATTCCCCAAACTATAATTCTTATTTTAAATTAGTTCTTAACCTTTGGAATATTCTAATTTAATCCCCGATCTGTGACTCTTATTCTAAATTAGTCCTTAAACTTTTGAACATTCTAGTTTCATCCCTAAACTATAACCCTCTTTCTATATTAGTCCTCAAACTTTTGAATATGCTAATTTTATCCCCAAATTCATCCAAATATGTAAATAATGTCAACCATAGTTTAACTTAAATTTTATTATTTTGAACATATAGTGATATAACTTGGTCTAACGATTTATTTATAAGAGATGTGATTAGTATATACGTATAGTTTGGGATGAAATTGAAATATTAAAAAATTTTAAGTACCAATTTAGAATAAAAGTCATATTTTAGGGATGAAAATAAAATATTTAAAAATTTGAGGACTAATCTAGAATGATAATCATACTTTAGGGATGAACTTGAAACATTTAAAAGTTTAAGGACCATTTTAAAATGAGGGTCATACATTTGATGCAATTAACTCTTATAATAATACGTAAAATAGAAGGTTAACTTCTACTACAACTACATGTACTCTACCTAAAAGTGCATTTTAGTCCCTCTACCGTAAAAGGAACATTTTAATCTTGTACATTTGAAAATATTAACATTTTAGTCTAAACGCTAAGGTTATTTATGTATTTTGGTTTAAACAATCTTTAAGTTCCTCTGAGTTATAAACTCGATTAATTTAATTCATCAAAAAAAAAAATATAAATTCTTAAACACTCGTGAAATCTAAATGCATTCATGTTCCAACTTCAAATTTCATCATATTCGCTTTCAATAATATTATAATTACAAGCCAAAGCATTAATATGGATTAGTTTCTCTATCACACCAAGAAATACTATGGGTAGTTTAATGACTGACACGCTAGTAAAAGGGTTAATTTTTAAATTGAACCATGAAATTTAAATAAAATATTAAGTTGACCTTTGAATTTTAGTTGAAATATCATTTTGACCCCTAAATTTTAGATAATTTATCAAATTGACCATGAATTCAATCAAAATCGCTCGTCGTTAAACGTCGTTCATCACATTCACTACCGGTCATCACCGACCACCATTGACCATCTTCACCGACGACTATTACTCTATTTTTGACCTTTTGAATGAAAAAATGATGTTTATTTCACAAGAAAATGCCTAAAACTCAATAAATCTTGTTTAGAACCATTCCAATTCCTTTAAAATTAAACCATAATAATAAATTTATCATTAATATTACTTTAAAAATAAGGACACAAACAACTAAATCTATATCATAATCAAATTAATAAAAAAATTGTTTATAATTTATATTATAAATATTTATTATGTTAATTATAATTTTTAAATAATTTTAATATTTTATATGTATAGATATTATGTAATTATGTAATATTTAAATTTTAATATGGATATAAAGAAATATTTATTAATTTTTTCCAAAACATTAAGCACTTGTCAACGATGGTATCTAATGAAATATATAACAAAAATATATATAAAAAATTAAATGTATTATAAGTTTAAATATTAAATTTTTTAATTTCAATATTATGAACGTAACAAAAAAATTATAACATATCATTTTATAAATTTTTAATATTTATAAATATTAAAGATGTGACAAATTATAATATTATATGTATATATATATATATATTATAATTATGAATTTATTATGTATGTAAATAAATAGTTATTAATTAAAAACATAATAATTATGATTTTACAAATTTTATAAAATTACTATTTATTATTTGATTTCACTATATTTAAAATTTATTAGTCTAAATATTTAACAGAAATATATAAGAGTCTGTCTAATATTACTAGTCTAAATATTTAACAGAAATATATAAGAGTCTGTCTAATATTACTAGTCTAAATATTTACAATTTATAAATATTAAAAAAATATATACTTAATATTATAAAATTAACAGAATCTTTTTTAGTAATCATTCTATTAAATCTATTAATCGACTAATCCGAATCAAGTAGTATAGAGACAAGGACGACCCACTCAACTCAATTTTCTCTATTTACAAACACCAGAATATTATGAACCTAACAAAATATTATAACACAACAATAATAAAAACAAAAAAATGTATTTAATTACGATATAGATTTAGATTTTTTGATGTCTTTATTTTTTTGGATAAACTACACTAGTGATCACTTAATTATTGTCAAATTCATTTTGACCACCGATATTTTAATTTGATTAGTCACTATTCAACTGATTCAATCAAACCACCAACCGTTAAAACTTAACGGAAAAGATAATGTGTCAGTTAAAAATTTAGTATAATTATGGATTTAATCCCTATTACTTACACAACGTGTCAATTTAATCCTACTTTTAATTAAATTCAAATTCAATATATTTAATCATTTAATTAGATTGTGACACGTGTCACCCTCTTATTGGAGAAAAGAAATTAATGAAGATGTTGGCGTCAATCAGATTCGAACTAGGAGCTCCTGGTTAAACTAGCATATGAACTACAACTGAAGCAAATGTATTGGATGGTTTACGCTTTACAACATATGGTAGATAACTTGTATAATAATATTAAAAATTTAATTTAAATTCATAACATTTTATACATCTTAACTTAAATTCATATCCTAACTTTAAAAAATATATTTTATTTTTTATTCAACTTATTAAATACATTTTATTCTTATTCAACTTATTAAATATATTTTATTTTTATTTTAACTTAAAAATGTATTTTATTCTTATGCTAACTTTAAAAATATATTTTATTCTTTATTAACTTAAAAATATATTTTGTTATTAACTTAACTTCAAATAATATATTTTATTCTTTTATAAACTTAAGATAATAATAAAATGCATTTTTAAGTCAATAAAAGAATAAAATATATATTTGAAGTAAAGATAATAAAAAATATTTTTTAAGTTGATAAAAGAATAAAATATATTTTGAAAGTTAAGATAAGAATTAAACATATTTTTAAGTTAAAATAAAAATAAAATATATTTAATAAGTTTAATAAAAAAATTAAAATTAAATTTTTAAACTTA